CCTTCGAGACTCTCCACTTGGACGTCTGGGGCCCTGCCCCGACGCAGGGGTCTGGGAGGGAGCGTTACTTTCTGGTGGTCGTCGACGACTTCTCCAGGTACACCACAGTGTTCCCTCTTGCGAAGAAGTCCGAGGTGACTGCTACGCTGATCAGGTGGCTTCTAGCCACTGAGGGCACTCGTGGTCGTCGAGTCAGTTGTCTCCACTCCGACCGTGGGGGCGAGTTTCGCTCCGGCATTCTCGGCAGATTCTGCGGCGAACAGGGCATCACCCAGTCCTGGACGCTGCCAGAGTCCCCACAGCAGAATGGGGTTGCTGAGCGCCGCATAGGCTTGGTCATGGACATCGCCCGCACGTCCATGATCCATGCCCGTGCGCCCCATTTTCTGTGGCCCCACGCGGTTCGCTACGCCGCACACCAGCTGAACCTCCAGCCGCGTGTCTCGCGGCCCGAGGTTTCACCGACCAGTCTTTGGACTGGTTCCCCTGGTGTCGGGTCGGCCTTTCGAGTCTGGGGCTGCCTTGCACTTGTTCGCGACACCTCCGCGGACAAGCTCTCGGCACGCGCCGTCCCCTGTGTCTTCCTTGGTTTCCCAGTGGACTCTGCCGACTGTTCCTTTTACCACCCTCCCCTCCACCAGTTCCTAGACTCCCGTGACGTCCGGTTTGACGAGTCTGTGTCCTACTACACCCGGTACCCCTGTCGAGGTCTCCCGGTACCCCCTCCCCCTCTTTTCCTCGCACCCTCTCCTCCTCCTGCTCCCGCTCCTCCGGTACCCCCGCCCCCCCCTGGTCCTACCCCGTCTGGTGTGTCCCACGTTACCCCTCTACCCTCGGTCGCGCGTCAGGTAGCGTCTCCCTCCCCGCAGTCCTCCTCACAGTCCCCTCAGCAGCCTTCGGCACTTCCTTAAACAGGTTACTGTGGACTCGGTTGGTGTTGGAGCTGGAGGTGCAGCCACTGGCGGTGCTCGGTCTGGGGGTACTCGGTCGCGGGGTGCTGGAGCTGGAGGTGCTGGCGCTGGTGGCGCTAGCTCTGGGGGTGCTGGAGCTGGAGGTGCTGGCGCAGGTGGCGCTAGCTCTGGGGGTGCTGGAGCTGGAGGTGCTGGCGCAGGTGGCGCTAGCTCTGGGGGTGCTGGAGCTGGAGGTGCTGGCACTGGTGGTGCTAGTTCTGGGGGTGCAGGAGCTGGAGGTGCTGGCACTGGCGGTGCTAGTTCTGGGGGTGCTGGAGTTGGAGGTCCGGGCACTGGAGGTGCTGGTTCTGGGGGTGCTGAGTCTGAGGAGTCTGACCCTGGTTCTGCGGAGTCCACTCCGCCTCCCCACCGCCACGACACACGACTCCAGGCTGCCCGCCGGCGTGAGCGTGAGGAGCAGGAGCGGTTGGAGAGGGAGCGGCAGGAGCTGCGGGTGCTGGACCTTCTGGAGCAGCAGCGGCAGCAGCAGCAGCAGCAGCAGCAGCAGCAGCAGCAGCAGCAGCAGCAGCAGCAGCCGCGGCAGCAGCCGCAGCAGCCGCAGCCGCAGCAGCCGCAGCCCCCGCCGCAGCAGCAGCAGCCGCAGCCGCCACCGCAGCTTCCTCTGGAGCGGCGGTTGTTCCCACCTGTGAGTGGCCTGCGGGCCCTTGGTTTTTCCTCCTCTCCTCCTGTCCGCTCCCAGTCTCCTCCTGTGTTTGTTCCCCCGTTGCCTCCTCCTGACGACCGTCCGGCGGTCTGGTCTTCTCCTCCTCCCCAGTCTCCTCCTCCTTCGGTCCGTCGCGACTTGGTCACTCGTTGTCCTCCGCGTGCTCGTCACTCGTCCCCTGTTACTGACCTCCACACTGCCCTCCTTTGTACGTCTCGTCGTCGTTCTCCTTCTCCTGTGTCCGTTCTCCCGTCTCCTCCTCCGTCCTCTCTCCCAGCCCTCCCCACTCCTATCACTGACTACTACCGCACTGTTCGTCCTGTTGCCGCACGTGTCCTCGCCACTCTTGTCACCGACTCTCGTTTCCCTCCGTCGTCGGTCTCTGCTCTTACTGCCGCTGTCGCTGAGTTTGCTGCCGCGAGCCGCCTTGACTACGCCACCCGTGTGGTGCCAGCTCCTCCCTACCGTCCTCTGTCTGTCGGGGGTGGGTTTGCCCTTGGCTGTGACGTCCTAGAGGACAGAGAGTCTGAGCTGGAGTACTGGGCAGCCGCTTCTCCCTCTGTGTGTGCCATGCTGCTCTCCCCTGAGGGAGACCCCGACGCCCTTGACATACCGACTCCTCGCACTTACCGCGAGGCAATGTCAGGGGCGTGGGCCTCTCAGTGGAAAGCGGCTATGGACTCAGAGTTGGCGTCTTGGAGATCCACAGGCACCTACGTCGACGCAGTTCCCCCTCCCAGGGCGAACGTAGTCGATGGCATGTGGCTATTCAAGGTGAAGCGGCCGCCTGGAGCACCGCCGGTGTTCAAGGCGCGCTACGTGGCTAGGGGCTTCAGTCAGCGTGAGGGAGTTGACTTCTTCCAGACCTTCGCCCCGACCCCAAAGATGACTACTCTTCGGGTGTTACTCCACATAGCAGCGCAGCGAGACTACGAGCTGCACTCCCTCGACTTCTCCACTGCGTTCCTCCAGGGCCGACTGCACGAGGAGATCTGGCTGCGCCGTCCTCCTGGCTTCACTGACACCTTCCCACCTGGGACCCAGTGGAGCCTGAGGCGACCAGTCTACGGTCTCCGCCAGTCGCCCCGTGACTGGCACGACACTCTTCGCTCCACGCTTCGTGACCTTGGGTTCAGCCCTTCCTCCGCCGACCCGTCGCTGTTTGTTCGAGCGGGTTCTACTCCTTTCTTTATCCTTGTCTACGTCGACGACTTGGTGTTTGCTACAGCAGACAGGGCAGCCCTGGCTCAGGTGAAGTCCGAACTGCAGAAGAGACACAAGTGCACTGACCTGGGTGAGCTGCAGCGTTACCTTGGCTTGCAGATCACCCGGGACAGAGCCGCTCGCACCATCACACTGACGCAGTCACACATGGTGCAGCAGGTCCTTCGGCGGTTCGACTTCCAGTTCTCCACCACTCAGCCCACTCCTCTTGCTGTTGACCACGGACTCACGGGCCCCTTTCCTGACGAGCCCTTTGAGTCCAGTGGACCCTACGCAGAGCTGGTGGGCTGCCTCATGTACCTGATGACTTGTACTCGACCGGACCTCGCCTTTCCCCTCAGCATCCTTTCTCGCTTTGTTGCGACTGGGAGACACCGCCCTGTCCACTGGACAGCTGCTGTGAGGGTGGCGAAGTACCTGGCGACTACATCAGGCATGGGGCTTGTGCTTGGAGGGACTCGGCCAGTGGCGTTGACTGGTCACTGTGACTCTTCCTACGCTGACGACGTGGAGACTCAGCGCTCGACTCAGGGTTACTGCTTCAGTCTGGGAGCTGGTGCTGTGTCGTGGAGGTCTACACGGTCGTCGTCTGTGGCTACTTCCAGTGCAGAGGCAGAGATCTACGCGTTTGCCATGGCGGCACAGGAGCTTCGCTGGTTGACCTTCTTGCTCGCCGACCTTGGTGAGCGGCCTCGCTCTGCACCGACCTTGTACGCTGACAACAAGGCCATGATCCTCCTGTGTCGAGAGCCTCGACTGGAGAGCAGAGTGAAGCATATTGACGTGAGGTACTTCCTCATGCGAGAGCTGCAGCGACGCGGCCAGGCACGCCTGGACTTTGTGGCCTCAGAGGCCAACACTGCAGACGTCTTCACCAAGGCCTTGGCGCTTGGTGACCACCACAGGTTCTGTGTGCAGTTGGGGCTAGTTGAGGTAGGCCCTCGGTTGCTGTAGTCCTGTTGCTTGCTCTGCTTGTTGTGCCTTGTATTTATATCCTAGTGAACTCTTGAACTGGCCTTGTGGCCGCTTGCTTGCGCTCGGAATTTGTGTGGTGTCCTTGAGATCCACCCTGAGCTTGTCTTGGTTCTTGCTTTGACTGGTCTTGTGACCGTTTGTTCACCTTGCTTGCTTTGATGCCCCTCACTTAGCCTATGGGGGTGTGTCAAATGTTGAACATTGATATGATAGGCTGTAGTGAGTTGCACTCTAGGGGGTACAGTTTCTAGGGTTGCTTATTTGTACCCCATTCGTTTCTATTCCAAGCATTCCGTTGCTAACCACTCTTGAGACGCGGATACAGTCAATGGTATGTAAGCTGCCCTGTGGAAGATGCACCAGCTAGGGTAGTGTGGACCAGCCTAGATTTGCCAAGAAAAACATACTGTATCTTAGATATAGTCAGCGGTAGACAAGCCGCCCTGTGGAAGATGCACAGGGAAAGGAAGGAGCCCTGTTAGCTTAATGTGTTAGATATTGTTGATAGATCTCCATTCAATGGGTGGGCTTCATGTGAAGATGCATACACGGTAACAAAAGAAGCACAAAAGGACCATTATGGTATAGCTTTATGCATCATCTGGCACTGATGGATGGATAGAGCATGAATCCACCAAGAGTAGCTACGCGCAGGAGGAGATTCTCAAATTTATACAACAAGAATGCATGAATTACATGAGCAGGTACCTACACCGGAGGTGATACGGTAGTAAAGAGCAGCTATACACAAAAGGTGAGTTTGTGGACCAGAAAATAATAGGAATACAGAGAGCAGCTATACACAGGGGGAGGTCCCAAGCCCGACCAATCACACGCACACAAATGGTGCGCATACAATAGAAGGATAGCAGATGGTGCCGCTGACAATTCTGACGGTGCTGCTGATGGTACTGATACTGCTGATGGTACTGATACTGCTGATGGTACTGATACTGCTGATGGTACTGATACTGCTGATGGTACTGATACTGCTGATGGTACTGATACTGCTGATGGTACTGATACTGCTGATGGTACTGATGCTGCGGATGGTGCTGATGGTGCTGATGGTGATATTCCCAGGGTATTCCAAGGGTATTCCCAGGAGTCTCAGGTGTCTGATAAACTGTGCCCTGAATGCAACGGCACCCCCAGATACTCCAGGTGGTTGGCTATACTGTCACCCACTACCGACCTGGTGAGAGGATTGAAGGGGCGGGGAAGGAAAGGGAACTGAGTGAAGAGGGGGAGAGGGGGCTGTAGCATGGCACTCCCAGGTACTCCAAGTGGTTGGCTATGCTGTCGCCCACCACGGACCTGGCAGCAAGGTAAGGAGATGATTGAAGTGGGGAGGGGAGCAGAGGGAGAATAGTGAACAGGTGTCTCAGGTGTGTGCTCAACTGTGCCCTGAGTGCAGTGACACCCCCAGGTACTCCAGGTGGTTGGCTGTGCTGTCGCCCACTACCGACCTGAGAGGTGGGGGAGGAGAGGGGGAATGATTGAGGGAGGGGTTGTGGGAGAGGAGGCTGTATTATAAGACGGCACTCCCAGCTGCTCCAGGTGGTTGGCAATGCTGTCACCCACCACCGACCTGACAGGTGGGAGAGGAGAGGGGGAATGATTGAGGGAGGGGTTGTGGGAGAGGAGGCTGTATTATAAGACGGCACTCCAAGTGGTTGGCAATGCTGTCACCCACCACCGACCTGACAGGTGGGAGAGGAGAGGGGGAATGATTGAGGGAGGGGTTGTGGGAGAGGAGGCTGTATTATAAGACGGCACTCCCAGCTGCTCCAGGTGGTTGGCTATACTGTCGCCCACCACAGACCTGACAGGTGGAGAGATAATTGAAGAGGGAGGGGGTTTTGGAAAGGAATGAGGAAGGAGGGGCGGATAGGAGTCAAAGATAAGTCCAGAGCATGGGACTACACACCCAGATAATCCAGGCGGTTGGCAATGCTGTCGCCCACCACAGACCTGGCAGGTGCGGGGAGGAGAGGGGGAATGATTGAGGGAGGGGTTGTTGGAGAGGAGGCTGTATCATAAGACAGCACAGCATCCCCAGAGACTCCAGGTGGTTGGCTATACTGTTGCCCACCACAGACCTGGCAGGTGGGGTGTTGATTGAACGAGGACGGGGAAGAGGGGGGGGGGGAGGATTGAGGAACGAGGGGGAGCACTCCAAGTGGTTGGCTATACTGTCACCCACCACCGATCTGGCAGGTGGAGAGATAATTGAAGAGGGAGGGGGTTTTGGAAAGGAATGAGGAAGGAGGGGCGGATAGGAGTCAAAGATAAGTCCAGAGCATGGGACAACACACCCAGATACCTCATGTCGTTGGCTATACTGTCGCCCACCACCGACCTGACAGGTGGGAGAGGAGAGGGGAGTGATTGAGGGAGGAGTTGTGGGAGAGGAGGCTGTATCATAAGACATGGGAGGAGGTACGGGTAACATGGGAGGAGGTACGGGTAACATGGGAGGAGGTACGGGTAACATGGGAGGAGGTACGGGTAACATGGGAGGAGGTACGGGTAACATGGGAGGAGGTACGGGTAACATGGGAGGAGGTACGGGTAACATGGGAGGAGGTACGGGTAACATGGGAGGAGGTACGGGTAACATGGGAGGAGGTGAAGGTAACATGGGAGGAGGTACGGGTAATTCTAAAGCGCAAGAACAACTCACCTACTGCAGCAGGAATCTTCTCCTGTCTCAAGCTTTGAGACAACACACCCACCTGTTGACTCTTCTCGACTCATGTACAGGTACAGGGCCTGAAGCGTGAAAACAATTCACTATGAGGATAAAGCTTTGAAATAACCCACCTGCTGCAGCAGGGGCCTTCGCCTGTCTCGTCACACTGGTGTGACAACCCATCTTCTGCCTCTTTTCCACTCACGTACCAGAAGCCTAAGGAGCGAGCACAACCCACCTGCTGCAGCAGGGGTCTTCGCCTGTCTCGTCACACTGGTGCACGTGCCACGTCAGATTACCTGCATGCCACGTGGAAGGTGGTGGGGTAAAAAACAAGAGCACAGGGAGAGGTGTGAGTGTGCGTACTGTACACGTGCGTACGCCTCTCATCACACTGGTGCACGTGCCACGTCAGATTACCTGCATGCCACGTGGAAGGTGGGTGAAAGGCAGCAGAGAGGGAGGAGTAAGTGTGCGTACATGTGTTCGTGTGTGTGTGTGTGTGTGTGTGTGTGTGTGTGTGTGTGCGCGCGTGTGTGTGCATACATGTGTGTGTGTGGGCGTGCATGTGTGTGTACATGTGTGTGTGTGAATATATGTGTGTGTTAATGTGTGTGTGTGCATACATGTGTGTGTGTGTGTGTGTGTGTGTGTGTGTGTGTGTGTGCTCTTGCAACAGCTGCCTAGTATCAACACGTCTCCAAACACACCTCATGTGCCTCGATGTGAAAACCCACCTTGGTGTCTGGCCTGGCTGCCCATTTCGTCAAGCGAATGTGTTGAATCTTGCAACAGCTGCCGGTGTAACGACTTTCCTCGTTGTAACGATTGACGTTCTAACGAACGGCGTTGAAACACGCGGCGTTGCAGCGAACGGCGTTGGAACAGCTGGTTTGGCATGAGGATCCCCCCAGCAGCATCGCGCTCCCCGCTCGATGCCCCTCCTCTAGAACTGAAGGAGACATTGTGCACAGAGTCTGGGATTATCCAGGCCTGCAGTGGGGAGAACGGGATGACATGGTAGAAGAATCAGCTGGTGTGGTGACATGACAAGGCGGTGGGGCCAGAACGCTCCTGCACGCTTGGTGAAGCTGAACTGGATAAACCGAAGGAGACGTTGTTCAGAGAGTCCGGGATTATCCACGCCTGCAGTGAGAAGGAACGGGGGTGACATGGTAGAAGAATCAGCTGCGTGGCAACGAGGCAGTGGGGCCAGAACGCCCCTCCTGCACACTAGGTGAAGCTGAACTGGATGAACTGAAGGAGACGTTGTGCAGAGAGTCTGGGACTATCCACGCCTGCATTAGAAAAGAACGGGAGACAGAGGAATTGGTAGAAGGGCAGTTGGTTTGGAGGGATATTGGGAATTGACCCCCTTTTTGGCGCGACCCCAGCAGCATAGCGCTCCCCCTTTGATAGCCCCCCTGTAGAACTGAGTGAGCCATTGTGCACAGAGTCAGAGATTATCCACGCCTGGAGTAAGAAACGCGGGAGAGGGGATATGGGAAAAGTTTAGATGATGGGGAATCATGGAGGCTTGTCGCACCCCCTCAGAATCCTACAAATCTCACCTCAGTGGCCACGTGGTGGTAACCACTGGGTGCAGGCAGCAAGTGTAATAATAGCTATTAAAAGTAAAAACAAACAAGAAAACACGAATAAAATCTCACCTCGGTGGCCACATGGTGGTAACCGATGGTTGCGGGAGGCAAGTGTACTTTCCAGTTCTATATATATGTATACACACACACACACACACACACACACACACACACACACACACACACACACACACACACACACACACACACACACACACACACACACACACACACACACACTCACGCACGCACGCACGCACGCACGCACGCACGCACGCACGCACGCACACACACACACACACACACACACACATTTATATGTATATATATTTTTAGTTTTACTCACCTCAGTGGCCACATGATGGTAACCAATGGTTGCGGGCGGCAAGTGCGGCACAAGGTCCTTGCAGTTGGTCACTCGGGTGCCGCCGTCTCGACTCCAAACTCACCTCTCGCACAACTTGCTTCGCCACTCACTCTATCTCACCTCAGTGGCCACGTGGTGGTAGCTGATGGTTGCGGGCCTGAAGTTCATTTCTAAGTTGTAAGAAAACCCATAATAATAATAATAATAATAATAACAATAACAATAATAATAATAATAATAATAAAAACAAAACAAAACAAAACAAAACAAACAAACTCACTTCAGTGGCCACATGGTGGTAACCGATCGTTGCGGGCGGCAAGTGCGGCACAAGGTCCTTCCAGTTGGTCACGCGGGTGCTTCCAGGAACCTTCTGACGGAAATATGCGGCAAATGCAGCGTTGCCCACTCGAGGCGAGCCAAAGGTGACGACTCGAATGGCGGGAGATGGGAGGTCGTAAGAAACCTGGTGAAGTGAGGGGAGGGGGGGGAAGAGGTGAAAAGAAAAGGGTTATCCAGCGCATGAAGCGTTGCCCACTCGAGGCGAGCCAAAGGTGACGACTCGAATGTCGGGTGATGGGAGGTCGTAGGAGACCTGGGGAGACGGGAGAAAAAGAGGGGTTTGAAAGGGGGGGGGGGAGAGAAAAAAGGGGTGTTGACAAAAACATGGTTGACCACTTGAAGTCAGCCAAGGGTAATGGAGCGAAAGCCGGGAGATGGGAGACCGTAGGACACCTGAAGATGCTAGTTAGCAGGTGAAAAAGGTGGCGAGGGTTGGGGGATTTGAGGGAAGGGGAGGGGTTGGAAAGAGAAGCGGGGTTTGTTGAAGCGGGGTTGTCACGAACATGTTTGCCCACTCGAGACCCTCGAGAACTCTGAGACCCTCTATCAGACAGACAGTCACTTCTGGAGGACAGACACAATCCGAACAGACACACTCCGAACAGACACAATCCGAACAGACACAATCCGAACAGACACAATCCGAACAGACACAATCCGAACAGACACAATCCGAACAGACACAATCCGAACAGACACAATCCGAACAGACACAAACCGAACAGACACAATCCGAACAGACACAATCCGAACAGACACAATCCGAACAGACACAATCCGAACAGACACAATCCGAACAGACACAATCCGAACATACACAATCCGAACAGACACAATCCGAACAGACACAATCCGAACAGACACAATCCGAACAGACACAATCCGAACAGACACAATCCGAACAGACACAATCCGAACAGACACAAACCGAACAGACACAAACCGAACAGACACAATCCGAACAGACACAATCCGAACAGACACAATCCAAACAGACACAATCCGAACAGACACAATCCAAACAGACACAAACCGAACAGACACAAACCGAACAGACACAATCCGAACAGACACAATCCGAACAGACACAATCCGAACAGACACAAACCGAACAGACACAAACCGAACAGACACACTCCGAACAGACACACTCCGAACAGACACAATCCGAACAGACACAATCCGAACAGACACAATCCGAACAGACACAATCCGAACAGACACAATCCGAACAGACACAATCCGAACAGACACAATCCGAACAGACACAATCCGAACACGGGAGTAGAAGCCGCGGTGCACACGGGCGTGTGAATCTTACCTCACCGTTCTCTACCAGGGAGACCCCAGCCACCCACCTGCAGGTCGAGAGCACTGAGAGTAGCGAGGGCGCCTCCCAGGGAGTGTCCCGTGAAGGCCACACGATAGGAACTCGGAAGGATCGTCGTGAGGAACAGCACCACCCCAACCACCGCCGGGCGCAGGCGCGTGAAGTGGTAAGCGGAGTAGAAGCCGCGGTGCACGCGGGCGTGTGAATTCTTACCTCACCGTTCTCTACCAGGGAAACCCCAGCCACCCACCTGCAGGTCGAGAGCACTGAGAGTAGCGAGGGCGCCTCCCAGGGAGTGTCCCGTGAAGGCCACACGATAGGAACTCGGAAGGATCGTCGTGAGGAACAGCACCACCCCAACCACCGCCGGGCGCAGGCGCGTGAAGTGGTAAGCGGAGTAGAAGCCGCGGTGCACGCGGGCGCGGGGACTCGCAATCAGACAGACAGAGACACAGAAGACACAAACACACAGAGACACCTCCCCTCCCCCGCCTTACCACCACCCACCTGCAGGTCGAGAGCGCTCAGGGTTGCCAGAGCGGCCCCAAGAGAATGTCCAGTGAACGCCACCCGATAGGATCCCGGAAGAATCGTCATGAGGAACAGCACCGCGTGAACCACAGCAGGGCGCAGGCGGGTGAAGTGGTAGGCGGAATAAAAGCCGCGGTGCACACGGGCGTGACGCAGATTCGGGTAGGAGAGGGAGCGCGGGAGGGCTTCTAGGTCGGCGATCCAGTTGCGGAGAGAGGAAGTGCAGGTGCCCCTGAATGCGACTATGATCAGTCTGGAAGGCGGATCCCATCCCACATAAGCCTGTGGGACGGGAGGGAGTGGGATGGAGCAAGAGAGGGAGAAAGGTAGAACGGTTGGGAGGGATACGAGCAGTGGGGGGGTGTGGAGAGGAGGAGTAGAAGCCCCGGTGGACGCGGGCGTGGCGCAGACCGGGGTAGGAGAGGGAGCGAGGGAGGGCCTCGAGATCGGCGATCCAGTTGCGGAGAGAAAAGGTGCAGGTGCCCCTGAATGCGACCACGATCAGTCGGGAAGGTGGGTCCCACCCTACATATGCCTGTTGGCAGGAAAGAAGGGAAACGAGAGGGTCCGAAACGGGGTAACTGAGAGGGAGCGCGGGAGGGCCTCGAGATCAGCGATCCAGTTGCGGAGGGAGGAGGTGCAGGTGCCCCTGAATGCAACGATGATGAGTCGGGAAGGCGGATCCCACCCTACATAAGCCTGTTGTGGAAGAGGGAGGGGCAGACAGGAAGCAGACCGGGGTAGGAGAGGGAGCGGGGGAGGGCCTCGATATCAGCGATCCTATTGCGGAGCGATAAAGTGCAGGTGCCTCTGAATGCTACGACGATGAACCGGGAGGGTGGGTCCCACCCCACATATGCCTGTTGGCGGGAAAGAAGGGAAACAAGAGGGTCCGAAACGGGGTAACTGAGAGGGAACGGGGAAGGGCCTCGAGATCGGCGATCCAGTTGCGGAGACGAGGTGCAGGTGCCTGAATGCGACTATGATGAGACGGGAGGGCGGGTCCCACCCCACGTAGGCCTGTTGTGGCAGGGGTGGGGAATGGGCAGAGGCAGACAGGGAGAGGGAGCGGGGGAGGGCCTCAAGATCAGCGATCCAATTGCGGAGAGATGAGGTGCAGGTGCCCCTGAATGCGACGATGATGAGACGAGCTGGTGGGTCCCACCCGACATATGCCTGGTAAGGGGATGGGAATGGCATGCGAAGGGACAGGGGAGGGCCTCGAGATCAGCGATCCAATTGCGGAGAGATGAGGTGCAGGTGCCCCTGAATGCGACGATGATGAGACGGGCTGGTGGGTCCCACCCGACATATGCCTGGCATGGCAGGGGGAAAGGAGCAGAGGCAGACAGGGACCGGGTCAGGTCACTGGGGTAACTGAGACCCAGGTAGGAGAGGGAGCGGGGGAGGGCCTCGAGATCGGCAATCCAATTGCGGAGAGACGAGGAGCAAGGGAGGCCCACCTGGGAAGCTGGTGCCCACCTGCAGGCGAGCATTGGGCTCCACGATAATTTGAAACAAATGGAAGCTCCTCATCTCGGGCAGCACGCACTGGGAGCAGTTCCACGCGTGTAGCGACGCCGTGTCTTCACTGTACACTGTAGCGGCGTGCAGCAGCAGCAGGTGAACCAGAGGCATGTCTATATCGGAGACGTTATTGCTGCTGCTGCTGCTGCTGCTGCTGCTGCCGCTGCTGCTGCTGCTGCCGCTGCTGCTGGGGACACTGGTGCTGCTGGGGGGAAAACTGTTTCTGCTGGGGAAACTGCTGCTATGACTGCTACCCCCACTGCTGCTACTGCTGCCTGTACTGCTTTGACTGTCACTGCTGGTTTGACTATCAATACTGCTGTTGCTGCTGCCTTTGCTACTGTTGCTACAGCTGCCGCTGTCCATGCCACCAGCCAAGGAGCAACCTCCGCGTGTGACAGTAACGAAAGGCTTGTGCCTGACACAGTGCCACGGCCGCCAGTGGGGAAAATTGGACGGATCCGGCTGCATATTCTGATCCTCGCCGTCATGTAGAAACGGCTTGCCGTCTCGTCTTTCTTCCTCGCCGCATATTTCTTGAGCTCCTAATTGACCTAATTGAGCATCTGTGGAAGGAAGCAGAAGGCTATGGACGCTCAAACCGGCTGAGTCGAACAGAGACTGGAAAAACTTTTGGCTGACCGAGACTGCGTGTGCTCTAAAATTTCGGCTGACCGGAATCAGGGAGCTCAAACTGAACTCTGTGACAGTGGTGTTATGGGGTTGGGAGGAGAGCAAACAGAAGGCGGTGACTGACAGAACAAAGATGCCGGCTAAGGCGAGGAGACTGACGGTGACGGTGACGGACCGGCATGGACGCCAAGAGACGGAATCCGTCTTCATGGTCGCAAAGCCGAGTCCTTTAGCTACTGGCCGACTCTGCTCCACGCAGCCGTGATGCGGAGTGATTGTACTAGGATGATACTGTCCAGCGTGAAACTGCCGGCCGAACGAGGTATGGCCGCTAGTGAACGTGACGCAGACAACCGTGACACTGGCGAACGTGACTTACAAACGTGACACTGCCGAACGGACACTAACGAACGCGACACAACGTGTCACTGTGAGGAGGAGCCCATCACGACAACTTGTGTAGGCACGGGAAGGCGCAACGACGGGAGCAGGAAAGGAATGTGTTAAAGCTCAAGGCCCAAATTGCAGAGCGCCCGGGACAAGCTTACTAAAGTTGATCGGAGTGCTTTCTGAGTGTTGTTTTGGTTGCGAATTGTGGTTACGAGAAGTGCGATGCAATTTGATTGGCCATCAATTTTTGGACGAATCGGAAAGCAGGAAACACCAAGAATATTGCGAGTACAATTTGGGACTCGAGAACCAAAACCGAGTTGCTTCCTGGGGTTTGCTGAGGCAGCGTTGTATAGAAGCTACAGCGAGCAAGCAGCAACCATGGCTACCAGAAACTAAACTGAGTAACCGAGCAGGAAGCTGTCGGGCAACGTGCGGGAAGATGATACGACGGGACGCGAAGATAAAGCAGGAGATTCCTCCTGGCCTCACACACTTGCCTGACAGTCTTACGAAGCGCAAGAGTGACGCACTAAGGTGTGAAGAGGCATCATCAGCAACCTAAGCGCATAAGCGACACGTGTTATGGTTGAAAATACTTGCATCGGCATTTCTTAGCGTACACAGGTGAAGACTCCGTGCGTCATCCGTCTGGTGTATGCGGGTGTGTGGAGGTTTTCAGAGGTTTTAAGAGGTTTTCACAATTGTACAGAGCGATATACATGTACAGACAACCCTCTGAAACACGAATTTTGAATAATGAAATCCAGTGATCCGGCCGAGTGATTCATGGTGGTGACAAAGAGAGAAACCAAGCAAAACCGAGGGAAGGGTGAAATGAAAACTCCTCCACACACACACCTGACACACACACACACCTGGCGCACACCCACCCGACATATGCCATCGCAGTGTGGGGGCAATGCTGACGCTCGTACAGTGATGGCTGACGTGTCGGGCCCCGCCTCTGACCAGGACGGAGATGTGTGTGGTCGGGGATTCGGGGGGGGCTGTGACAAAAGGTTGAAGCCTTCGCTTAGAGCACACACATTTGGCGCTCGAAATTTTCCATTTCGTGCTTCGCCACCATCGTGAAGCACAAATCGAGAGCATCGCGATTCCGTTGTAGTGCCTTGAGCCGTATATCTACACTCACCTGAACATTTACCGTGTGATTCAATGCCGAACATAAAGTGTCCCTACCTAGGTATTCTTCAATAAGGTGTTCTACAACCGAAGTCGTGAACTAGCAAAACGAGGGAACTGGAAACTGAATAAGATGTACCTGGGATGTACATATAGTTAAATAACTGACATACCATACAAATATTCTAAATTACTAGGATATCTACCACGGTGTATCAATCTTCAAGAAAGGCCTGACATGCGTAACTGCAAACGATACGAACGACCTACCAGGCATCTCAAAACGTATAGGAAGACCCCCATTGTCAACCTGTGCAAAGTCTTCAGAATACGACGTTCTCCACGATAGCACCTTCGACTTGCCTCCTACATTCTTTTGAAACCACCAACTAATGCCAACACTTACCGTCCTCGGTGTCGCCTTCTGGTTCACCACAAACACGCTTATCATCCTCTTCTTCGGGGTGTAGAAAGCCGAAATCCCGAAATTACACCTCCCCTTGCTGAGGATCAGCTTCCGGCTGCCTCTAGGAGCAAGGCTCGTAAAATGCTTCAATATCCAAAACTTTTTGGAGACCGTAGGCGGAGTGTACACTGTAGACGCATCCGGAGTCTTCGACCAATCAATATTGATCAGCCCCCAAGTTGAAGAAGGGTCCATCGCTTGCCAGTACACCCATCCGGAAGCTTCTAAAATGTTTATCGACGCAATGATCGATCGCGCCATGTACAGTGCCACATCCATGTCATCCCCATCCCGACTCAAAGGCCCCCATTCCGAAACCCAAACCGGTTTCGTTGTCGCCTTCGCCGCCACTTTCATGTCGCGAAAGTTTTGGGCCGTCCACTGGACGGGATCCGCCCCGTTTTTCGCCAAGCTCATGTAACCGTGCACGTTGTAACGGTATATAAACCCGTTCAGATTCCCGACGTTTTCCGGAGTCCTCTCGACAAAGCTATCCACAGAAGCAAGCTTCGTTTTAAGCTTCTTCCTTTGCAGAGCAGCCTGAGTCTTCTGTAGAACGCGCCTCATTTGGTCTACACCAATGTTGCACCCCTCCTGTCCTCCCCCCTTCTTCCACCATCCCTCCAACGCTTCGTTAAACGGCTCCAAAGTCTGAAACACCAGTCCCTTTCCCCAACTTTTATCCGTCGCGAATTTCCGCACCACGTCAGTGAGAAATTCCGCAAACGCTGTTTCGTATTCCGTCTTTAAATTACCCTGCCCGTATGTGGCTGCCCCGGCAACATCCCCAGAAACCGTCATCCACCATGGGGGGCTGTTGGAAAAGGCTTCAAACGTGTCTGCCCCCCGTGCTCGGGCAGCGAACAAAACTTTCCGCTGCCTGTCGTCTGCTGCCCAGTTATAGCCCGAATTCTCCGTAGCCTTAAAGCCCGGCATGCCCCGCCATTTAAGTCCATCGGTTTGAAACTGGGGGCTGTTAGTGGCGTTATAGCCGCCTCCTATGTTGTAGCGAACTATGTTGAGGTTTAGACCCGAGGGGGAGAATAGGAGGTCCATTAAAGGGTTGAAATGGTTGTCTGGGAAGCCTCCCACGAAGTTTCCTAGCCTGGGAGGGAGGGAAAGTGGGATGGGGTGGGAAACAGGGGTGGATCGGTGCGATATTGTTGAGAAGTGAGATCGGTGCTATGGTCATCAAGCAGTGAAATTGATGGTTTGAGGGATTGAGAAGTGAGAATGGAGCACTGACAGATAATATGCGAACGGAAGGTCAGAAGCAGTGGGGAGCGGCTTACCAGCAGAGGGACGTGCCCCAGCCCTGCCACTTGTTCCGCCACCGCGGGTTCAGAGTCACTGACGCGGGGCCTGGGGTAGGGGTGGGGGGAGAGTGGGGGAAGAGTGGGAGGAGAGTGCGGAGAAGTCGGGAAGAGAGGGGCGGGCATAACAGCAGACGGAGGTGCCACAGCCCTGCCACTTGTTCCGCCACCGCGGGTTCAGAGTCACTGACGCGGGGCCTGGCGGAGGGGGGAAGGGTTGGAGGAGAGTGGGGTAAAGTTCGGGAAGAGGAGGGCGGGCATTCCAGCAGACGGAAGTGCCACAGCCCTGCCACTTGTTCCGCCACCGCGGGTTTAGAGTCACTGACGCGGGGCCTGGGAGAGAGAAGAGTGTGGGGGGAGGGTGGGGGAAGGGTGCGAGGAATGTTGGGGGAGGGTGGGGGGAAGAGCAGAGGGGGAAACACTCAGACTACTCTGACGCGGAGCTTGCGAGCGCGGAAGGGATAAGAGAGGTAGAGGTAGGGGGAGTGGGGGAGAGCAGAGACATATTTACGCACACCGGGAGGAGGGAGGGGGAGAGGTGGGGGGAGGGGGTTAGACGGAGGCACGAGGCAGGAAGCAAGAAACAATCAAGCCACTTTGCTCTGGCACCGCGGGTTCAGCGGGGAGCCTGGGACGACGAAGAAGAGGTGAAAAAGAGGCGAGGGAGACGAGAGAGGGGAGAGAGGGGATAGAGGCTACAAGGCAAAGCAGACCGGAGCACGCAAATTGGACCACAAGGGCGAGAGTCTTTGGAGCTGAAAAAGAAGTGTAGTACCGTACCTTGTCCGGTGCATATATCGAAGAGCTCAGTAGCGGGAGTCAGGTTCGGTGTGGAACCCGCTAGAGGCCGGCTCGAGCCGTTGCCGCTAGATGCGACTCGCACGCTGGCGAGCGGCGTGGTCTGCGACGCGGTGTGCGACGACACTTGCGACGCGGCTGTTCGCGAAGGCTTTTCGTTACAAGGGAACGGCACGGGGTGCGGCGACAAATCTTGGCGAAAACAGATGGGGGGTCCAACGGGATCCCCTGATGTTCCTGAAACGACCGGTAGTGTAATATTAACGGAGTAGTCTATACCGGGAATATCTGGAACTATCTCGTCATCGGGAGACGGGGCTGGGGCGTTTGCGGGGACTTCAGCAGCGGAAGACGCTGCGGAGAAGACGGAGAGCAGGAGGAAAATAAGATAGAGTCTGCGAGAGAGTGAGCGGAGGTGCCGGGGCGCCATCGTGGCGCAACGCTGCTACTAGCAGACTGCTATCTATAAACGCCTAGTCGAACATGTTGGAAGAACTTTGACAATTATTTGGATAATGCCTATGGCGCAACGCTGTTAGACCGTCCAGCTTCAGTGACGAACGCTGTTTGCTCCCTCTTCCACGATCAGTGACGAATTCTGTCAGTGATGGACTCCGTCAGACATGTCAACTATCAGTCGCCTAAACCGTCCGTCATCCAATCCGCCCGTCACCAACCTGAAGCTGGCGCGTACTTTGAAATAATCGAGGCCGTGAGTTTATGAACTTATACGTATATCTACTTTCTTGTCTGCATATTAAATACTTGGTAAGCAACGACGTTGAAGAGATTAATTGCTTCTGTGCTCACTAGCAAGCGACCGCTTCTAAGAAGCACGTGAAGAAGCAACTATGAAGCATTTATAAATACAGCACCTATGATGAGGCGGGACCAAGAAAGTGGGTGGCCATGACTGCAGCACATATTTAGAAAGGACGGAAGGTACAATAGGGTCAACATGACGGCGAGGCGCTATCAATGAATCGAGGCGTGTGTCCTGGAATGGAGGAAGAAATGTGGGAAACCAAAATGGTACGGCGCTGAGAGGGGGTTGATTTGGCACGGCAGCCATGAATCCGTGGAGTGCGCTCAGTGGAGTTTACTTGAAAATGGCGACCTGTCAAAAGGGAGAAGAGAATTTGACTGCCTGATCACACTGGCCTGTAAGCGCACAGCTAAGTGATGCCGAACCGTGAATTTCATGCCTTGTGCCCGAGTTTCGAGAAGTCGAAGGCGAAAGACCTCTGTACGCCTCCATAAGTTTTGCACAAGTTTTAAGACTAGAAATTGAACTGTATGGATCGTGGAATGTTTCACATGTCTGGAACGCAACCCAGAGGTAGCGACAAGCAGGCATGGTTCGCAACGGCTAGTTCCGCAAGTTTAGGCCGTCGGGCAGAAGTGCCAACCTGTAAAAGCGAAAAAGCCGTCGATTGTCAATATCGTCACAGATCGAACGCTTGAATCAAGTTTAGGGCTGCTGGAAACTCTGTGCTTTTGTTTGAAACGGGGGAACCGACATGCCAAGCCAAAGAAATTTGTCGGTGAAAACCTCACTCACCGGACCGTGAAACGTGACGAACTCGATATAGCTGGTTCACTTAGTCAATACAGTTTCTTACGAGTTCCGATCAGTAAATGTCAACTAGTGAATACTGATAAAACAAATATACTCACATTCTTCATACACTTTCACAGATTGAGAAGACGTAATTTCCATAGGGGGATCTTTGTTTGATAAGTAAATCAAAGACACTAGATAATCTGTACATAAAGTCGAATATCCACGGACATTCGTTACACAAGCTTCACCTCCCTGTTGAAAACCCAGCTGAACTTGCCAGTCTGTGGGCCGCCCTTCTTCACCTTATCCGCCGCCCGCTCCGCCAACCTCCTGATCCTGGGCGGCAGCTTGCAGACGAACTCCTGCGCACGTGCCGCTTCCGGAGACAGTCCCTCCATCTTCTCTACATCCCACACCGCTATAAGGTGCTCCATTATATCAGCGTAGTCTCCGGCAGTGTACACCCCCGTGCGCTGTGCTACAGCGGAGAAATCGTCGAAAAGTTCTGGGTTCTCCCCATCGTACATGAGGTGAGCTGGCATGACGATCTGAAAAAAAAAAAAAGGATCGAGGCGGAGTGAAAGGGGGAGGCGGACACACAAAGAAAGCAAAAACAGAACAGCATACAAGTCAACGAGTTAATGTGAGCTTGCATGAAGAAAATGTAGTGGTAGTCGATGCACAAGGGAAAGAAGGGTAATCGGAGCAGATGGGAGAGAAGGGAAGTGGCAGCAGATGTGAGAGAAGGGAAATGGGAGCATACGGGAGGGAAGGGAAATGGGCACATACGGGAGAGAAGGGAATTAGGCGCACATGGGAGGTAAGGGAAGTGGGAGCATATGGGAGAGAAGGAAAATGGGAGCATATGGGAAAGGAGGGAAATGGCACATACGGGAGAGAAGGGGAATGGGCACATATGGGAGCGAAGGGAAATGGGAGCATATGGGAGAGAAGGGAAACCGGAGCATATGGGAAAGAAGGGATATGGGAGCATATGGGAGAGCAGGGAAACGCATAAGGGAAAGAAGGGAAATGGGAGCTTATGGGAGAGAAGGGACAAGGAAGCATATGTTGATTTGGCATGACTTTTGAAGTGCACCTGTTTCCTCATCATGTCTTCAAACGCCAGCATCGCCCCGGACGGATCGAGCTCATACAACCGTGACACGATCGCACAGTACGCCTTCTCGTGCCTCTTCTCATCCGCGGCTATCATGCCACATATCACGGCCAGCCGGTCATCTCCAAACTCCTTGGCGTGGCGCGCCGTGTTGCCGTGGGAAATGAAGGTCGCCCGCTCCTGGAAGGACGTGTAGACGAAGCCAAGGTACGGGTTGTTCTCCGTCTTGGGGTCCTGTTATGGGATTGAACGCACAAGGCAGTAGGAAATGGGAGATGGGAGTTGAAGGTTGCTCGCTCCTGGAATGATGTGTGTAGAAAGCTTCATAGTAGAAGAGCAGCAAATCCGAAATTTAACCAACAATTAAAAGTAATTAGAGAAACGAAACTGGACTTTTCTTCCTGGGAAGGACTTTTCTTCCTGAAACGAAATAATTTCAATCAAAGCATAACTTCGAAATGTGCTTGTAAGGCTCCGCTTTAGATAAAGGTTTTTTTTTTTTTTTTTTTTTTTTTTTTTTTTTTTCTGAGTTCTACTAATCATAAAAAAAAAAAAAAACAGTTTCGTTCCTCTAGTTGCTTCAAGAGTTTTCTAAACTTCGGATTCGCTGCTCTTACACATATCCACACTCTCCACCCCATTTCCTCGCCCTCACTCGTAACTCACCATCCCCGAGCCAATCAGGTCTAAGTTGGTCATTTACGTTTACGTGTACGTCCTTTACGTTTACGTTTACGTACGTTTACGCAGGTGACAGATTTTGCTAAAATGTACGGGCAGCCAAAAAGTTTTTTTGGGCTGGCCGAAGGCGTCAGAATTTACTTATCACCCTATGTGATTGGTAAATTCCAATATGTAATGTACATATTGTTAACAGCTATAGCCGATGCGGAAGCGTTTAACAAGTCACTACAAGCTGAAGCTTAGCAACACTTAACTTCCCTTAAGGCCCTCCGGAGTGACAACTTGTCACCTCCTAGCCAAGGGCCAAAAAAAAAACATATAAGGGAGTAGTTATGCTTAGCTTGCTTGCAGGGTGAGAGATCTGGTCGAGCAGCGTTTCGGCAGCACCATGTGAGCGTTTCTACTCTCGTTAATACGTAGTAGTAGAATTCCAGAGTCAAAGGATAACAACATTGATTCAAGCAAGTACAAGCATGCATTTTATATTAACTCCTAAGCACACAGAAGGAAGGCACACAAAACAGTTATTTAACTGTCGTCCAAGTCTTCGCCTTGTTGTCCTTGAAAAACGGTTGTAAAACTGCTCTTGAAAATAACTGTATTCAAGCTGAACTGGATGAACTGAAGGAGACGTTGTGCAGAGAGTCTGGGACTATCCACGCCTGCATTAGAAAAGAACGGGAGACAGAGGAATTGGTAGAAGGGCAGTTGGTTTGGAGGGATATTGGGAATTGACCCCCTTTTTGGCGCGACCCCAGCAGCATAGCGCTCCCCCTTTGATAGCCCCCCTGTAGAACTGAGTGAGCCATTGTGCACAGAGTCAGAGATTATCCACGCCTGGAGTAAGAAACGCGGGAGAGGGGATATGGGAAAAGTTTAGATGATGGGGAATCATGGAGGCTTGTCGCACCCCCTCAGAATCCTACAAATCTCACCTCAGTGGCCACGTGGTGGTAACCACTGGGTGCAGGCAGCAAGTGTAATAATAGCTATTAAAAGTAAAAACAAACAAGAAAACACGAATAAAATCTCACCTCGGTGGCCACATGGTGGTAACCGATGGTTGCGGGAGGCAAGTGTACTTTCCAGTTCTATATATATGTATACACACACACACACACACACACACACACACACACACACACACACACACACACACACACACACACACACACACACACACACACACACTCACGCACGCACGCACGCACGCACGCACGCACGCACGCACGCACGCACGCACGCACGCACGCACGCACGCACACACACACACACACACACACACATTTATATGTATATATATTTTTAGTTTTACTCACCTCAGTGGCCACATGATGGTAACCAATGGTTGCGGGCGGCAAGTGCGGCACAAGGTCCTTGCAGTTGGTCACTCGGGTGCCGCCGTCTCGACTCCAAACTCACCTCTCGCACAACTTGCTTCGCCACTCACTCTATCTCACCTCAGTGGCCACGTGGTGGTAGCTGATGGTTGCGGGCCTGAAGTTCATTTCTAAGTTGTAAGAAAACCCATAATAATAATAATAATAATAATAACAATAACAATAATAATAATAATAATAATAAAAACAAAACAAAACAAAACAAAACAAACAAACTCACTTCAGTGGCCACATGGTGGTAACCGATCGTTGCGGGCGGCAAGTGCGGCACAAGGTCCTTCCAGTTGGTCACGCGGGTGCTTCCAGGAACCTTCTGACGGAAATATGCGGCAAATGCAGCGTTGCCCACTCGAGGCGAGCCAAAGGTGACGACTCGAATGGCGGGAGATGGGAGGTCGTAAGAAACCTGGTGAAGTGAGGGGAGGGGGGGGAAGAGGTGAAAAGAAAAGGGTTATCCAGCGCATGAAGCGTTGCCCACTCGAGGCGAGCCAAAGGTGACGACTCGAATGTCGGGTGATGGGAGGTCGTAGGAGACCTGGGGAGACGGGAGAAAAAGAGGGGTTTGAAAGGGGGGGGGGAGAGAAAAAAGGGGTGTTGACAAAAACATGGTTGACCACTTGAAGTCAGCCAAGGGTAATGGAGCGAAAGCCGGGAGATGGGAGACCGTAGGACACCTGAAGATGCTAGTTAGCAGGTGAAAAAGGTGGCGAGGGTTGGGGGATTTGAGGGAAGGGGAGGGGTTGGAAAGAGAAGCGGGGTTTGTTGAAGCGGGGTTGTCACGAACATGTTTGCCCACTCGAGACCCTCGAGAACTCTGAGACCCTCTATCAGACAGACAGTCACTTCTGGAGGACAGACACAATCCGAACAGACACACTCCGAACAGACACAATCCGAACAGACACAATCCGAACAGACACAATCCGAACAGACACAATCCGAACAGACACAATCCGAACAGACACAATCCGAACAGACACAATCCGAACAGACACAAACCGAACAGACACAATCCGAACAGACACAATCCGAACAGACACAATCCGAACAGACACAATCCGAACAGACACAATCCGAACAGACACAATCCGAACATACACAATCCGAACAGACACAATCCGAACAGACACAATCCGAACAGACACAATCCGAACAGACACAATCCGAACAGACACAATCCGAACAGACACAATCCGAACAGACACAAACCGAACAGACACAAACCGAACAGACACAATCCGAACAGACACAATCCGAACAGACACAATCCAAACAGACACAATCCGAACAGACACAATCCAAACAGACACAAACCGAACAGACACAAACCGAACAGACACAATCCGAACAGACACAATCCGAACAGACACAATCCGAACAGACACAAACCGAACAGACACAAACCGAACAGACACACTCCGAACAGACACACTCCGAACAGACACAATCCGAACAGACACAATCCGAACAGACACAATCCGAACAGACACAATCCGAACAGACACAATCCGAACAGACACAATCCGAACAGACACAATCCGAACAGACACAATCCGAACACGGGAGTAGAAGCCGCGGTGCACACGGGCGTGTGAATCTTACCTCACCGTTCTCTACCAGGGAGACCCCAGCCACCCACCTGCAGGTCGAGAGCACTGAGAGTAGCGAGGGCGCCTCCCAGGGAGTGTCCCGTGAAGGCCACACGATAGGAACTCGGAAGGATCGTCGTGAGGAACAGCACCACCCCAACCACCGCCGGGCGCAGGCGCGTGAAGTGGTAAGCGGAGTAGAAGCCGCGGTGCACGCGGGCGTGTGAATTCTTACCTCACCGTTCTCTACCAGGGAAACCCCAGCCACCCACCTGCAGGTCGAGAGCACTGAGAGTAGCGAGGGCGCCTCCCAGGGAGTGTCCCGTGAAGGCCACACGATAGGAACTCGGAAGGATCGTCGTGAGGAACAGCACCACCCCAACCACCGCCGGGCGCAGGCGCGTGAAGTGGTAAGCGGAGTAGAAGCCGCGGTGCACGCGGGCGCGGGGACTCGCAATCAGACAGACAGAGACACAGAAGACACAAACACACAGAGACACCTCCCCTCCCCCGCCTTACCACCACCCACCTGCAGGTCGAGAGCGCTCAGGGTTGCCAGAGCGGCCCCAAGAGAATGTCCAGTGAACGCCACCCGATAGGATCCCGGAAGAATCGTCATGAGGAACAGCACCGCGTGAACCACAGCAGGGCGCAGGCGGGTGAAGTGGTAGGCGGAATAAAAGCCGCGGTGCACACGGGCGTGACGCAGATTCGGGTAGGAGAGGGAGCGCGGGAGGGCTTCTAGGTCGGCGATCCAGTTGCGGAGAGAGGAAGTGCAGGTGCCCCTGAATGCGACTATGATCAGTCTGGAAGGCGGATCCCATCCCACATAAGCCTGTGGGACGGGAGGGAGTGGGATGGAGCAAGAGAGGGAGAAAGGTAGAACGGTTGGGAGGGATACGAGCAGTGGGGGGGTGTGGAGAGGAGGAGTAGAAGCCCCGGTGGACGCGGGCGTGGCGCAGACCGGGGTAGGAGAGGGAGCGAGGGAGGGCCTCGAGATCGGCGATCCAGTTGCGGAGAGAAAAGGTGCAGGTGCCCCTGAATGCGACCACGATCAGTCGGGAAGGTGGGTCCCACCCTACATATGCCTGTTGGCAGGAAAGAAGGGAAACGAGAGGGTCCGAAACGGGGTAACTGAGAGGGAGCGCGGGAGGGCCTCGAGATCAGCGATCCAGTTGCGGAGGGAGGAGGTGCAGGTGCCCCTGAATGCAACGATGATGAGTCGGGAAGGCGGATCCCACCCTACATAAGCCTGTTGTGGAAGAGGGAGGGGCAGACAGGAAGCAGACCGGGGTAGGAGAGGGAGCGGGGGAGGGCCTCGATATCAGCGATCCTATTGCGGAGCGATAAAGTGCAGGTGCCTCTGAATGCTACGACGATGAACCGGGAGGGTGGGTCCCACCCCACATATGCCTGTTGGCGGGAAAGAAGGGAAACAAGAGGGTCCGAAACGGGGTAACTGAGAGGGAACGGGGAAGGGCCTCGAGATCGGCGATCCAGTTGCGGAGACGAGGTGCAGGTGCCTGAATGCGACTATGATGAGACGGGAGGGCGGGTCCCACCCCACGTAGGCCTGTTGTGGCAGGGGTGGGGAATGGGCAGAGGCAGACAGGGAGAGGGAGCGGGGGAGGGCCTCAAGATCAGCGATCCAATTGCGGAGAGATGAGGTGCAGGTGCCCCTGAATGCGACGATGATGAGACGAGCTGGTGGGTCCCACCCGACATATGCCTGGTAAGGGGATGGGAATGGCATGCGAAGGGACAGGGGAGGGCCTCGAGATCAGCGATCCAATTGCGGAGAGATGAGGTGCAGGTGCCCCTGAATGCGACGATGATGAGACGGGCTGGTGGGTCCCACCCGACATATGCCTGGCATGGCAGGGGGAAAGGAGCAGAGGCAGACAGGGACCGGGTCAGGTCACTGGGGTAACTGAGACCCAGGTAGGAGAGGGAGCGGGGGAGGGCCTCGAGATCGGCAATCCAATTGCGGAGAGACGAGGAGCAAGGGAGGCCCACCTGGGAAGCTGGTGCCCACCTGCAGGCGAGCATTGGGCTCCACGATAATTTGAAACAAATGGAAGCTCCTCATCTCGGGCAGCACGCACTGGGAGCAGTTCCACGCGTGTAGCGACGCCGTGTCTTCACTGTACACTGTAGCGGCGTGCAGCAGCAGCAGGTGAACCAGAGGCATGTCTATATCGGAGACGTTATTGCTGCTGCTGCTGCTGCTGCTGCTGCTGCCGCTGCTGCTGCTGCTGCCGCTGCTGCTGGGGACACTGGTGCTGCTGGGGGGAAAACTGTTTCTGCTGGGGAAACTGCTGCTATGACTGCTACCCCCACTGCTGCTACTGCTGCCTGTACTGCTTTGACTGTCACTGCTGGTTTGACTATCAATACTGCTGTTGCTGCTGCCTTTGCTACTGTTGCTACAGCTGCCGCTGTCCATGCCACCAGCCAAGGAGCAACCTCCGCGTGTGACAGTAACGAAAGGCTTGTGCCTGACACAGTGCCACGGCCGCCAGTGGGGAAAATTGGACGGATCCGGCTGCATATTCTGATCCTCGCCGTCATGTAGAAACGGCTTGCCGTCTCGTCTTTCTTCCTCGCCGCATATTTCTTGAGCTCCTAATTGACCTAATTGAGCATCTGTGGAAGGAAGCAGAAGGCTATGGACGCTCAAACCGGCTGAGTCGAACAGAGACTGGAAAAACTTTTGGCTGACCGAGACTGCGTGTGCTCTAAAATTTCGGCTGACCGGAATCAGGGAGCTCAAACTGAACTCTGTGACAGTGGTGTTATGGGGTTGGGAGGAGAGCAAACAGAAGGCGGTGACTGACAGAACAAAGATGCCGGCTAAGGCGAGGAGACTGACGGTGACGGTGACGGACCGGCATGGACGCCAAGAGACGGAATCCGTCTTCATGGTCGCAAAGCCGAGTCCTTTAGCTACTGGCCGACTCTGCTCCACGCAGCCGTGATGCGGAGTGATTGTACTAGGATGATACTGTCCAGCGTGAAACTGCCGGCCGAACGAGGTATGGCCGCTAGTGAACGTGACGCAGACAACCGTGACACTGGCGAACGTGACTTACAAACGTGACACTGCCGAACGGACACTAACGAACGCGACACAACGTGTCACTGTGAGGAGGAGCCCATCACGACAACTTGTGTAGGCACGGGAAGGCGCAACGACGGGAGCAGGAAAGGAATGTGTTAAAGCTCAAGGCCCAAATTGCAGAGCGCCCGGGACAAGCTTACTAAAGTTGATCGGAGTGCTTTCTGAGTGTTGTTTTGGTTGCGAATTGTGGTTACGAGAAGTGCGATGCAATTTGATTGGCCATCAATTTTTGGACGAATCGGAAAGCAGGAAACACCAAGAATATTGCGAGTACAATTTGGGACTCGAGAACCAAAACCGAGTTGCTTCCTGGGGTTTGCTGAGGCAGCGTTGTATAGAAGCTACAGCGAGCAAGCAGCAACCATGGCTACCAGAAACTAAACTGAGTAACCGAGCAGGAAGCTGTCGGGCAACGTGCGGGAAGATGATACGACGGGACGCGAAGATAAAGCAGGAGATTCCTCCTGGCCTCACACACTTGCCTGACAGTCTTACGAAGCGCAAGAGTGACGCACTAAGGTGTGAAGAGGCATCATCAGCAACCTAAGCGCATAAGCGACACGTGTTATGGTTGAAAATACTTGCATCGGCATTTCTTAGCGTACACAGGTGAAGACTCCGTGCGTCATCCGTCTGGTGTATGCGGGTGTGTGGAGGTTTTCAGAGGTTTTAAGAGGTTTTCACAATTGTACAGAGCGATATACATGTACAGACAACCCTCTGAAACACGAATTTTGAATAATGAAATCCAGTGATCCGGCCGAGTGATTCATGGTGGTGACAAAGAGAGAAACCAAGCAAAACCGAGGGAAGGGTGAAATGAAAACTCCTCCACACACACACCTGACACACACACACACCTGGCGCACACCCACCCGACATATGCCATCGCAGTGTGGGGGCAATGCTGACGCTCGTACAGTGATGGCTGACGTGTCGGGCCCCGCCTCTGACCAGGACGGAGATGTGTGTGGTCGGGGATTCGGGGGGGGCTGTGACAAAAGGTTGAAGCCTTCGCTTAGAGCACACACATTTGGCGCTCGAAATTTTCCATTTCGTGCTTCGCCACCATCGTGAAGCACAAATCGAGAGCATCGCGATTCCGTTGTAGTGCCTTGAGCCGTATATCTACACTCACCTGAACATTTACCGTGTGATTCAATGCCGAACATAAAGTGTCCCTACCTAGGTATTCTTCAATAAGGTGTTCTACAACCGAAGTCGTGAACTAGCAAAACGAGGGAACTGGAAACTGAATAAGATGTACCTGGGATGTACATATAGTTAAATAACTGACATACCATACAAATATTCTAAATTACTAGGATATCTACCACGGTGTATCAATCTTCAAGAAAGGCCTGACATGCGTAACTGCAAACGATACGAACGACCTACCAGGCATCTCAAAACGTATAGGAAGACCCCCATTGTCAACCTGTGCAAAGTCTTCAGAATACGACGTTCTCCACGATAGCACCTTCGACTTGCCTCCTACATTCTTTTGAAACCACCAACTAATGCCAACACTTACCGTCCTCGGTGTCGCCTTCTGGTTCACCACAAACACGCTTATCATCCTCTTCTTCGGGGTGTAGAAAGCCGAAATCCCGAAATTACACCTCCCCTTGCTGAGGATCAGCTTCCGGCTGCCTCTAGGAGCAAGGCTCGTAAAATGCTTCAATATCCAAAACTTTTTGGAGACCGTAGGCGGAGTGTACACTGTAGACGCATCCGGAGTCTTCGACCAATCAATATTGATCAGCCCCCAAGTTGAAGAAGGGTCCATCGCTTGCCAGTACACCCATCCGGAAGCTTCTAAAATGTTTATCGACGCAATGATCGATCGCGCCATGTACAGTGCCACATCCATGTCATCCCCATCCCGACTCAAAGGCCCCCATTCCGAAACCCAAACCGGTTTCGTTGTCGCCTTCGCCGCCACTTTCATGTCGCGAAAGTTTTGGGCCGTCCACTGGACGGGATCCGCCCCGTTTTTCGCCAAGCTCATGTAACCGTGCACGTTGTAACGGTATATAAACCCGTTCAGATTCCCGACGTTTTCCGGAGTCCTCTCGACAAAGCTATCCACAGAAGCAAGCTTCGTTTTAAGCTTCTTCCTTTGCAGAGCAGCCTGAGTCTTCTGTAGAACGCGCCTCATTTGGTCTACACCAATGTTGCACCCCTCCTGTCCTCCCCCCTTCTTCCACCATCCCTCCAACGCTTCGTTAAACGGCTCCAAAGTCTGAAACACCAGTCCCTTTCCCCAACTTTTATCCGTCGCGAATTTCCGCACCACGTCAGTGAGAAATTCCGCAAACGCTGTTTCGTATTCCGTCTTTAAATTACCCTGCCCGTATGTGGCTGCCCCGGCAACATCCCCAGAAACCGTCATCCACCATGGGGGGCTGTTGGAAAAGGCTTCAAACGTGTCTGCCCCCCGTGCTCGGGCAGCGAACAAAACTTTCCGCTGCCTGTCGTCTGCTGCCCAGTTATAGCCCGAATTCTCCGTAGCCTTAAAGCCCGGCATGCCCCGCCATTTAAGTCCATCGGTTTGAAACTGGGGGCTGTTAGTGGCGTTATAGCCGCCTCCTATGTTGTAGCGAACTATGTTGAGGTTTAGACCCGAGGGGGAGAATAGGAGGTCCATTAAAGGGTTGAAATGGTTGTCTGGGAAGCCTCCCACGAAGTTTCCTAGCCTGGGAGGGAGGGAAAGTGGGATGGGGTGGGAAACAGGGGTGGATCGGTGCGATATTGTTGAGAAGTGAGATCGGTGCTATGGTCATCAAGCAGTGAAATTGATGGTTTGAGGGATTGAGAAGTGAGAATGGAGCACTGACAGATAATATGCGAACGGAAGGTCAGAAGCAGTGGGGAGCGGCTTACCAGCAGAGGGACGTGCCCCAGCCCTGCCACTTGTTCCGCCACCGCGGGTTCAGAGTCACTGACGCGGGGCCTGGGGTAGGGGTGGGGGGAGAGTGGGGGAAGAGTGGGAGGAGAGTGCGGAGAAGTCGGGAAGAGAGGGGCGGGCATAACAGCAGACGGAGGTGCCACAGCCCTGCCACTTGTTCCGCCACCGCGGGTTCAGAGTCACTGACGCGGGGCCTGGCGGAGGGGGGAAGGGTTGGAGGAGAGTGGGGTAAAGTTCGGGAAGAGGAGGGCGGGCATTCCAGCAGACGGAAGTGCCACAGCCCTGCCACTTGTTCCGCCACCGCGGGTTTAGAGTCACTGACGCGGGGCCTGGGAGAGAGAAGAGTGTGGGGGGAGGGTGGGGGAAGGGTGCGAGGAATGTTGGGGGAGGGTGGGGGGAAGAGCAGAGGGGGAAACACTCAGACTACTCTGACGCGGAGCTTGCGAGCGCGGAAGGGATAAGAGAGGTAGAGGTAGGGGGAGTGGGGGAGAGCAGAGACATATTTACGCACACCGGGAGGAGGGAGGGGGAGAGGTGGGGGGAGGGGGTTAGACGGAGGCACGAGGCAGGAAGCAAGAAACAATCAAGCCACTTTGCTCTGGCACCGCGGGTTCAGCGGGGAGCCTGGGACGACGAAGAAGAGGTGAAAAAGAGGCGAGGGAGACGAGAGAGGGGAGAGAGGGGATAGAGGCTACAAGGCAAAGCAGACCGGAGCACGCAAATTGGACCACAAGGGCGAGAGTCTTTGGAGCTGAAAAAGAAGTGTAGTACCGTACCTTGTCCGGTGCATATATCGAAGAGCTCAGTAGCGGGAGTCAGGTTCGGTGTGGAACCCGCTAGAGGCCGGCTCGAGCCGTTGCCGCTAGATGCGACTCGCACGCTGGCGAGCGGCGTGGTCTGCGACGCGGTGTGCGACGACACTTGCGACGCGGCTGTTCGCGAAGGCTTTTCGTTACAAGGGAACGGCACGGGGTGCGGCGACAAATCTTGGCGAAAACAGATGGGGGGTCCAACGGG